TTACAAAATGATTTCATTGTTCTTTGATTTTTCGTTTTGTGTAATTGTATGACTCGCCCGAGATAGAATCGATATTCGGTTACACGATTTATAAAACCAGAAACATATTCTGGTTTTTCTTAAACAATGCCGAATATTGTTGTAAAGTTCGGCGTCCGTGACTGCATTATTAACTAAAAAAATTGGTTACAAAAAAAAAAAAATTCTTCTTGTTAAATAACCCATACTGCGCTACAAATTCATGTCATATTCTTAAATAGACCTTCTCTTTCCTATTACAAAAAATATAGAATTAAATACTCAATAATGCCTTATAATAATTATCAACTAAACGATTTACAGCGAAAAGCTTTGACCGATCTATTCGCACATCTTCAACATTTTAACCAAGAATTTTCAAAGTGTAATTTTCTTAAAAATGACAATTCTCTCTTTTTGCGAAATATGAAAACAACTGCCATTAATCTTGGCTTACATTATGTTCATCAAAAAAATGTTGTGATTGGTGATGAGATTTTTAAAAAAGCTGTTAAAGGCCATAAGGATTGGTATGAAGTGAACAAGCAATGGATCATTTGTTTTGTAATTTTGGCAAAGAGTTCGGTTGATAAGTGTTCATCACATGCTTGTGTGTCTCCCGTAGAAGAGACTAAAAAAGGCGACGATTGGAAAAAAAATGGGGTTTCGGATAGCGTGGGAAAAGGTCAATTTTTTACTCCTACGAAGGCAAAAAAGGTTTCTGATGATCAGATTATTAAACCACCAAAGAAGTTAGATACTGATAAAAAATTTGTACCGATTCAAAAAAAGAAATTCACAAAAAAACGACCCAAAACTTTGTAAGTTAATTATTCAATTATTTGTCGATTCACCAAATTTTAACATGCTAAATTATTCTAATTTATTTGCGAAATATAGGTCTCAGCCTTTAACATTACAATCCATCATACGTTCTTGTCTATTTTTTACATTAATTCCATCAATAATTTTAATTCTAATTATTTGTTTCATTTATCTTGTGGGAATAGGATCTTCGTAAATTATTTGATTAATCATTATTCATTTTCTTATCATTGTAGTTTTTTTTTTCGATTAACATACTCATGTGCATTAGGAATTGGTTGGGAAAAAGTAGGGATAAAATTTACATTACGACTTTTAATCCATTCTGTACATAAATTCGAGCTTGATCTTTTTTTTAAAAAAAAAGTCATTTATTATATAGTTATACATTTTATCAACGCCTTATTCGGTTGTTCATATTTATTTTATTATAGGAACTTTGTAAATCTTGTAAATAAATTCCAAAAATGAACATTAAATCTTTTTTTTGTGT